AATGAGTTTCCAATGTTTACCTTCCAGTTAGACCATAAATGATGAGTGTTATCTCAGCACCAGCAGCTTAGTAACAGCAGATTTTAAGCAGGTAGATAAAAAGAGGAAAATAGAGAGCTTTAGGGGACCCTTCTTTACTCCGTTATGCAGGTTAACAATTTGAGTGCTGAATTTTTCTTGTTGTAGTTTATCGAATAGTTTAAAACATGTATAAAGTGGGCCATAATATGTCATCAATTGGAGTTTTAAAGAGAATGACAGAATCAGGGGTTAGGATATTAGACAAAATTGTCTTTTCTCTTTTAGGGCTGGGTCTTTGAATTGAACAGAAAAAGAGAAAAAGAAAGAATGGAGAGGAAAAGGTTAAGCTTTACAGGAGGATTTGTGAGCCTTCTGGCCACTGCACAGTGTGGGGCCAGCACCCCTAGCACGCTCATGTATTTTCTGTTAAGGAGAGCCTTGGCATCCCAGATTTACACGGTGTGAGACGAATTCTCTTCCACTCTGTTAAGTCACCAGTTAAGATTAGCCAGAGCAGAGAGCCCCTTTAGCTCAAGGCTTTGAAGGGTTGGGATTCTGTCCCTGGGCCCTTCAGCTCTCAGGGCAGTCCTGTTTCCAGTGGCTGAGGTTGTGGCAACAGGGGGCAAGCTGGGTGGGGCCTTTTCCCATTTATTTTATTGGGGCACACTTATTTTATTGGGGCATATCCTCCTGCCTCAGCCTCCAAAAGTGCTGGGATTACAGGCACAGTCACTACACCTGGACAGAATTGTGAACACTTTATGGGCATGTATTTTACAATTTTAAAACAGTTGTTAAATACTGGTGGCAAGTTCACAATAGAAAGGAGTTTAAAGACGTGAGTGACATGGAATAAAGGAGGAGGTTCCCTGAGGATCAGATGATGGTGACAGCAGTAGCAGTAGCAGCAGGAGCAGGTAACATTCATTTAGAGTTGAGATGGGCCACACCCTGCTCTAAATGCTTTATGCATATCACGTCCCCTCATTCTCACTAGAAGTGTGGGAGGTGGATATGATTAGTCAAGGACATGGAGGCACAGAGAGATGGAGAAACTCCCCAGCTAGCAAAGCTGGGACTCAAAGCCAGGCAGTCTGGATGCAGGGCCAGTGCTCCAGCCACTGCCCCCTACTGCTGGCTGATGGTAGGGTCCAGAGCACAGGTGATGGACTGGCCTGAGAGGAGGGAAAGCTCATTAAACCTCTGGATCAGTTTGCTGCATGAACACTTTCTCACAAATGTAAAAGCTTAAAACCATCACCATTGATTACCTCATGGTGCTGTAGGTCAGAAGCCTAGGCAGGCTCAACTGGGTTCTTGACTTTGCATCCCAGAAGCCCAACCCAGGGTGTCAGCAGAGGTGGGCTTTCATCTGGAGGCTCTGGGGAAGAATATGCACCCAGAATCATTGAGGGTGGCAGAATTCAGATCTTTTTGGCTGTAGGACTGAGAGCTCCACTTCCTTGCTGTTAGTCGGGAACCTCTGATTAAAGTCTGCTGCATCCCTCACCATGTGGCCCCTTCAACTTTAAAGCCAGTAATGATGTGTGGAATCTTTCACAGGCTTGGATTCTCTGACTTCCTCTTTGGTTACTAGCCATAGACAACTCTGGAGTTCCATAGGGCTCTCAGGATTTGGTTAGGAACACCCACATGGTCTGCCTCTCCTTGTGCTGGTTACATAATCTATTCACAAGAGTAAAATGCATCCTATTAACAGCACTTAAGATTAGGGGGAGAGATCATGGATCATTTTAGAATTTTGCCTAACTTGTACACCATGATGGTGGGATGGTTGGATGTATTAGTTGAGGGGAGGTCTGAGGGCTGATATTGTCTTCCTGGATAGGAGTAGAACATTCAGAACCTGAAGGAAATGCCTGCAAATGAAGAAGGTTTAAACAGATGACTAGCAAGCTTTTGGTTTGCTAGTTGGCATTTTGGGGTCAGTTCTCAAATATCTGAGTTTGGAGATGATGAAGTTGTGGGGACATCAGGCCACATGCGTATGTATTTTCCCCTGCAGTCTTTATATACAAGCAGAAGTGAAAGATTTTAATTGAAGTTTCTTTTGGGAAAGCTGGACAAAAGGACCACAGGTCAGGGGAGATGACAGGCTGAAGTGATGTTCCCCAGAATCTAGGCCAGAAACAGGTTAAGACAGAGTAAACCAGTGAAAGAGAAGGGATAGCAGTTTCCTTGCAAGGGCCTCAGGGGTGGATGGCTGGATTCCAGTTAAAGCAAGAAGTGTAAGAAGGATTCAGTAAGAGGGTAGAGATCTAGAGCACAGGTTCTTCAAGTGGGGTCCCCAAACCAACAGCGTCAGCATTGCTTGTTAGCAAGGCAGATTCCCAGGTTCACCCCAGACCTAGGGAATGGAAAATTCTGGAAGTTTGTGGTGGAGAACAGGAATCTGCATGTTAATAAGCACTCTAGTTGATTTCGATGCCTCGAGGGTTTGAGAATAATTGACACAACATCTTTCATGTTGTATAAGAATGCTTTTATCATGAATGGGATTGAGGACCGTAGCCAGTTCCTGGAAGAAGAGGACCAGCTCTACCTGGGTGGGAAATACTGAGCATATGGCAGAGGACAGATGGCCTGTATTCTTCATGCTGAGGAAGGATGACAAGGATAAGTGTAAGGCAAGGCTGAATCCACTGGACTTAGGAGTTTTCAGAAATAACAAGTCCTGGCCATCCCATTCTTGATCAATTGTGTTCTTGAGGTTGTATTCTAAGGCCAACAACAGTAGCATTGACTGATGAGTTGAAGAAGGGTCAGTCTGGGCCTGGCTTTGCTGTACCTTAAAGAGGAGGGAATCTAAACCCCAGGAAAAGTGGCAGAAAATGGGAGTGAGTTTCTGAGACCCTAACCGAGAACCTAAAGCAGCAAGAGACCAGTGCAAGCCATGGAGGGACACCCTTGCCTATGAGCAAGATCCAGCTTCTCTTTGGCTCAGCAAATGATAGAATTCCTCTCCTCTAGCTGCAGGCACACCTTGGCCTCCTCAGATGCCTCTACTGTGGCCTAGCCTCAGCTACAAGATCATGGATGGGCTGTGGTCAGGCAACAGGATGAGGAAGAAAGGGAGGGATGAATTTTGGGATGTGGGTATCTGACCCAGTATGGAAGTCCCTACATATTCTTAAACTTGTTCTGAGTCACTCTGTGAAAATTGTGGGACTGTGACAGTAGAAAGCAAGTGAAGTAGAATGCAGCCACATAAGGGTTTTCATTGTTGTAAGAACTCCCTAGCCCCCAAATCAACAAATCATGTCAGGTAAATGTAAACACACACTTCTGATCTGGCAGTAAAGCCAAATATACTCGATATATAAAAACAGTGGGCCCACCCTATCATCAGCAGGTTCTACATTCATGAATTCAGCAAACTGCAGATAGAAAATATTAAAAAAAATAAATAAATGGATGGTTCTGTCTCTATGGAACATGCACAGACTCTCTTTCTTGCCATTATTCCCTAAACAATACATTGTAACAACTATTAAATTGTATCAGGTGTTATAAGTAATCTACAGAGGAATTAAAGTATATGGGACCAACCTTTTTGACACCAGGGACTGGTTTCATAGAAGACAATATTTCCACAGATGGGTGGGGGAGAGGGAGCAAATAGCATGCCATTTAATGTAAGGGACTTGGGCATCTATGGATTTTGGTATCTGTGAGGGATTGAGGGAGTTGGTCCTGGATCCAACCCTCCTCATATACTGACCACTGTAAGGTTTCATACTTCTCAGTTTAAAATTTAACCACTTGTGAGTGAATGTGGATAGCATTTGTATAAGAAAAATGGCCGGGCGGGGTGGCTCAAGCCTGTAATCCCAGCACTTTGGGAGGCTGAGGTGGGTGGATCACGAGGTCAAGAGATCAAGACCATCCTGGTCAACTTGGTGAAACCCCGTCTCTATTAAAAATACAAAAAATTATCCCAGCACTTTGGGAGGCCGAGGCAGGTGGATCACGAGGTCAAGAGATTGAGACCATCCTGGTCAACATGGTGAAACCCTGTCTCTACTAAAAATACAAAAAAAATTAGCTGGGCATGGTGGCGCGTGCCTGTAGTCCCAGCTGCTCGGGAGGCTGAGGCAGGAGAATTGCCTGAACCCAGGAGGCGGAGGTTGCGGTGAGCCGAGATCACGCCATTGCACTCCAGCCTGGGTAACATGAGTGAAAC